AATATTCTTGTCGAAGCATATTACATAGATCAACAATATAAAAACGAAATAAATATAATAAATCAATATTTTCCGTTCGAAGAGCTTGATTAACTTGTTTATAAATGAATGTTATAGACGTATACCATTCTATAGCTTTCGTTGGTGCGTATGTTTGTTCAAATTTGTCAATATTTTCAAGTTGTCGTTTATTTTGATGATAATAATCACGACATTTACTAAGCATTTCTTCTTTGGCATGTAATGTTTGAGGTAATTTCAATAATACATCTTTTAAGATTTGAAACCATAAAAATTCAGCTGATTCACGGCTCAAATCACGAGTTGATTTTTGTTTTTCATTATACAAGTTAAATATAGCTAATTGTTTAGCTGCTAATACAATATTATGTTGAATATTTTTAATTAATGTCTCTATATCTGTAAATATACCAATGATTTTTGGATATTGTTGAATTAATTGATCATTATTTTCTTTTCGTGTACGTAAGATAAATATAGTATTGATTTGTTGCAACTTATGTACATTAGATAAAATATCTGTTGAAGAAGAACCAGATCAAACTAAAAATATTTTTTCATCTTTTATTGATTCAATATATTGAATACATGTGTCTGTTTGTTGATGACATGTAACATAATCATTTATCTGATAAAGAATTTCTTTTATATGCACTACATCATTACTTTTTGCATTGGTATTTTTATCGAACCAAACCAATATAATTTCTTCATTTTTTTCTTTTGTTGACGGCTTGACTATGTTAGCTATTGAGTCAGTTGTAGAAATAATATGGCCTAATCGATAATGATCCATGATAGAATTCTCTGAAGGAAAATCTTTTATTATATTACCTTCTATAACACTATCGTTCTGTAGCTCGTCAAAGTCAAAGTAAATGTTCTTAAAGCAAATTCTGTTTAGTCATACAACAAATATTTACTAACTTCTTCAATTCTGAATACATAGATAAGTATACAACCCGAAAAGATGAATACAAATCTTTTATTATAGCTATATAATATCTTAAGAATGAAATATGAGTGCGATATATGTGAAGCACAGTTGTCAGATCAAAAATTTTAAAGTCAGAAATTCTCTCGTCGAAAAGAAACCCACATAGATCATTTAATCAAAAACACATCTTTTTTTTCCAGAATCTTGCGACAAACGTGGTATAAAAACGTAGGATATCTTGGAGCTGGATTCGAGTATTCCGTAACTGGATTCGTCTGTAGGTTATACCAAAAAATGAAAAGGGTATACCAAGATAGATCTCGTCAAGCTCTATCGAATGGTCACCTTTTCGACCCTATTCCACCTTTCGATTCCCCCTAAAGGGCTAATCCAGGTCAGAATCCGGATTTCTCAGGT